AGGAATGGGCAAATATGTAATAAATGAGGAGCCCTTATTCTATAAAAGGACCCATCACCCTCACAATTAGGGAGAGGCTAATTCTTAGGCCTTCTCACCCCCTCTCAAAGCTCTCACTCTCAGAGCTTTGTCTCCCTCAGATAAATACATATTCAGTGTGGACGTAGCCCAAACCTTGGGGTGAACCACAATACATCTTGTGTTATTTACATTTCTTGCAGATTCAAGGTCGGATTTACATTGTTCCAAGACCTTCGATTTTGTGCATCAACATACTCCACTTTGGAGATTAATGAAGATATAAGAAATTCCCAAATATTGTCATATATATTTTTGGTATTTACCATGTTTAGTTTAATATGGCATCAGAGCAGTTCGCTCTTGGTGACCTGTGTGCTTTAATTTTGTGCCCACATTTTTCGTAATTTCCTTTGTGAAAAAAAAAGTGAATAGTGTCGCGCTACAGTACAACATTTTGATACATTGCGTGAACAGTTGTCTGCTTGTGAACATTGATCCTCTACAGTGCCGTAAATAGTGATTGCTACAGTGCCGTGAATAGTCTATGCTACAGTGTCGTGAATAGTGATGCTACAGTGTCGTGAATAGTGATGCTACAGTGTTCTGGTAAATTGTTTTCATTCCGCTACGTATCTTTTGTGCCTTTATTGTTCGTGATTTTGTTCAATGACTCAGTATAATCATAGTGTTGTTATGCATCTTGATGAAACAAATAAATGGATAATTGATACTGAGCCACTGATCATGTGACTAGTGACTCTAGAGTGTTTGATAAGTTATGTGACTATGTTCATGATCCGTATATTACTAGTGCAAATGGAGCACTTTCCCCTGTGAAGGGTGAATGCACTATCTCTCTTACTCCAACCTTATCACTGGTCCATGCTTTACTTGTTCCTGATGTTAAGTGCAATCTTTTGTCGGTTGGAAAACTTCTTGATACCTTATATTGTTCTGCTCACTTCTACCCTACGTATTGTTATTTTCAAGGCATTCAAACTCAGAAGATAATTGGTCGTAGTAAAAGAATAAAGGGTTTGTACATCTTGACTATGGAAGATACTGTTGTTTCCGGTTCAAATAATCATCAAGTTTTAAGTGCTAAAGTGGATCACAAACATCAAATTTGGATGTGGCATTGACAATTGGGACATCCATCATTCAGTTATATGAAACATCTATTTCCTTATTTGTTTCGCACTTGTAGTGATTCAAAGTTCAAGTGTGAAACATTTGTCATGGCTAAGAGTCATTGTGCTTCCTTCCCGTAAGTGATTGATGTGATAAAAGTTAAGCACACAAATTAAACCCTCTTGTTGTCAAATCGTAGTATAAATGCAAGTAGGGATCGTTCTAAACCGGGGATTATGAGGGCTTGCTAAAACCTCTAAACTGACTCAAAAACATAAAAACAAAGTTAAAAACGTTTGAATAGATTCAAGGGACTCAAAACAGGTTCAAAAGACTCAAAACAACTTAAAAACACTCAAAACTGCCTAAAAACACAATATGGGCAGATTCTGACCTTAACACAATTTTGGACGAATTTAGTGTTTTGGTTTGAACCAAAACACTCACAAACACAAACAAAACCTAAATTGAGCACTTTGAAACAAGAAAGTAGAAGGGGGGTTTTGAATTGGATGAATTTGAAACAAACAAACAAGTTATAAAGTTAGGCAGATTATAAAACGAAATTTGATGAATAAGATGATGGATGGATTAGTTAGAGGTCCGTTCTCCACACATGACACACTTGAACATGAATCGATTTCCAATTGCTTTTCAATAGATTATGATGCTCAACACCCCAGATTAACCGTGATGCACAAATTAACCCTCGGATTTTCCTTTACTCATTGGATTGGATGAATGCATGCAACAACCCAAATCATTCTCTAAAAGTCCCCTACATGAATGCATAATAGAGATACAATAAGAGATCATTACGTTTCATGAAAATCATAAGTGTTGACGAGGCAATTGTAACTATGAATGCATGATACGTTTGCCAAGAATTCAATTAACGCGATTGGGTTTAGCCACTCATGATTACAGCAAAATCAGAAAGTAATAACAAAATAAACATTGAAAACAAGAACGAAGTACACCTAAAACGCTACAATCTACAAGCATGAAACGCCAAGGGCCTTCTTCTTCCCCACCTTGCTGCGGCACAAGAGTCTATGGATGGTTATGGACGTATGAAAGAGTCAGAAATAGGTTTAGGTTAAATGGGGGTTGCGGCAAGGATGTATGGTGGTGTAAAAGAGATGTAGAATGATGTAGAATGGTGGAGAGGATGCGGCTGGATGTATTTCTGAATGGGAGGGAGGTGGTGATGAATTTACGCTTTAAAACACACATATATATATATAGGCACTGCAAAGCTAGGGTTTTCACAAATCTGATGGGAAGAGGTTAGGGTTTTGGAGATAAAAGGCTTGGCCCATCTAAGGGAGAAAAGAACTAGGGTTTTATGCAGATTTTTAGGCTTCTAGAACATTAGGTGCGGCACAACCCTAAGGAAATCAGATTAGGGTTTAAATCAACAAAGAAAAGGGTTTTGGCCCATTTAGTTTCTGAAAATGATGTGTAGAACCCAAATCCACAAGGAAAAGGGCCTAACAAATCAGAATCTAAGAGGGAAGAGGCTTGAAAGGTGCGGCAAGGGTTGGAACCAAGGTGAAAAAGGATTAGGAAACTTCCAATCCAAGAATAGAAACTTTCAAGAATGGAAACCTCCAACTTTAGAAACTTTGGCTTCCAATTCTGAACTCTTTGTTCTTCATGTTCATTTCTTCATTTCTTGCCTCCTTTGATCTTCAATTTCGTCTATCCACTTGGCTCCAAGCATGTGATATCCATTTTATGCTCAAAACTGCTCCAAAGGCTCCAAAATGCACCTTTTTGCATACTTTGTCCTTAGAACCTGAAAATACATGAAACTAGCTTAAAAGACTAATTTAACTAAGAAAACACAACGTAAATGCACAAGAACAAGCTCACTAAGTCGCATAAATATGCTCCTATCAAATTCCCCCACACTTAGCTTTTGCTAGTCCTCGAGCAAAACAAAGAAACAAAAGAAAACAAAATGAAAAAAACAAACAAACAAAACCTAAACCTTCCAACGTTTGCCTCAGGGATTTCCTATGCACATGACACGTCAAAAATCATCATTCCCACATATTTTAGTCATCCTTACACTTGAGCACATACTTAATCATAGTCACCACTTACTAGTTCACAATTAACCAATTAAAATGATGTTTTGAATGTAGTAACATGCCTTAGAGAATTCACTCAATTCCTTACAAGGTTTGCACTCAATTTTCACTCAGATTTTCTAACCACACACCCTATACTAGTTATATGTGAGAAGATTGATGTAGATATGAAAACGAACACTCACATATATGTATCACAAAGAACGCAATTTCTGGAGTTAATAAGCATGTTTAGATATGATCTCATGAATGGAATGCTACTACTTAGATGCGAGAACCAGTGACACCATATGCTCATACCAAATTCAAACTCCACAAATTGAAACACATAACACTCAAGATTGAAGTCAAGGGTTGCAACGGGGCTTGGGGTATTGGTTAACAAAAGAAGGATAGGGATAACAAACGTTCTTAAAGCAATAGCAAGCAAAGTAATGAAATTGAGACTTATAATTCACTTTAGAATGCAGAAATCAACTTTTAACACCAAGGGAAGATTTAAGCAACACTTAGGGTCGAATTCAATGTTTTGGACCCTTTCTTCAACAATCAACACTTAAGAGCTCTTTTTCACATCTTTTTCAACTTTTTTTTTTCATACTTTTCACAAATTTTTTTTTTCTTTTTCTAGCCGTGCCACATGAAAGTCTTTGGCACACACACACATACCTTCCCCCACACTTGTTTTCTGCAATACATTGATCAAAAGGAATTCATCTTGAGTCATGCTTTACTATGCTTCAAGAACAAGGGTATGGATGGTCCTAATCTAGGCTAGGTGAGGATAATGTGGGTTAACAAAGAATATAGGCTACACAAGGCTCAACGGGGTTAAAACCTACAAAACAAATGAACATGGGGGACACGGCAATTGGCTTAAGTGGTGGTCACTACACAACTTCATCTTGAATATGTGTTATGCAAATCAATAGCATGCTTCGAATGAAATGGGCATGAGTTCTAGTGTTTGGAACTAAATGATGAAACGCCTTCTAAGTAGTAACCAAGCAAAGAATAATGAGATCATGCAACGACTTTAGAAAACAACAATGCACAGATTATTAACTTTCCAAATAAACATTTAGGCTCAAGTCTCATAAGGTTGTAGCGTTAGTTTGAGTGCCTTCCTTCAAGCATGTTACAAAAACTAATTTTTTTCTTTATGATTGCATGTGAATTCATAAGTTATAACCACAACCAAGCATAAACCAAAGAGTAAATCAAACTTCCATCCATGTTTATAACTCTCTTTAATAGTCATGCAATTAAAAACCGAATCCTCATCATTGTGTTGGAAGGTACCCTAAGACACAAACAAACACACAAAAACAAATAAAAAACAACTCTTTTTGGTTTTTTCAAAACAATTTTTCAAATTTTCTATGAGATTTTCGGATTTTTCTGTCAAAACACACTTAAAAGCTTAAAAACACACTAAAAACACTTAAAAACAGTGAGAAACAACATTGGAAGTGATAGGTGAATAAAACCCACGAATTTGCATCAAAAACACTTATTTACCCCCCCCCACACTTAAATCAAACATTGTCCTCAATGTTTTAAACATAACTCACAGAAAAACAATTAAACAAGCAACAAATAAACATGGACAAATAAGGGCAGCAAGGAGAAAGGTTGAAAGAAAGCAAATCTGGGTTTAGAGCCGAGTTTAGGTGTTCTTTTATTGGCATGGGTTGCCTTCCACGAAGCGCTTGCTTTAACGTGGTGCAGCCGGACGACTACCATCCTTTATGCTTCCTTGGAGCCCACGGCATGGAGGTGTAGTTCCTCCACCACATGCTCCTCAAACAGGTCGTAATAAGGCTTTAAACGATGCCCATTCACCTTGAACTCGTGGCCAGTTTTCAAACTTTGGACTTGGATAGCACCATGAGGAAAAACATTAGTAACAACAAAGGGTCCAATCCACTTAGAACGTAACTTACCGGGGAATAACCGAAGGCGAGAATCAAAGAGGAGCACTTTCTGCCCCTTGGAGAATGTCTTGGTACGAAGCATCTTGTCATGATAGGCCTTGGTCTTATCCTTGTAAATCCAGGCATTCTCGTAAGCTTCATTCCTAAGCTCCTCGAGTTCATTCAATTGGAGCTTTCTATGAACTCCGGCGGCATCTAGATCTATGTTGAAGGTCTTCACTGCCCAATATGCCTTGTGCTCCAACTCGACAGGCAAATGACATGGCTTACCATAGATGAGCCGAAAATGTGACATACCAAGGGGGGTTTTGTAGGCCGTACGATAAGCCCACAATGCATCATCTAAGCGCAAGCTCCAATCCCTCCTTGTTGGCCCCACGGTTTTCTCTAGGACTTGCTTGATCTCCTTATTTGAAACCTCGGCTTGCCCATTGGTTTGAGGATGATAAGGTGTTGAAACCTTATGCATAACATTGTATTTCTTGAGCAAAGCCTCGATGGATCGATTACAAAAATGGGAGCCTCCATCACTGATTAGAACTTTAGGCATTCCAAACCTAGCAAAAATGTTAGTTTTCACGAAATCTGCAACCACCTTAGAATCGTTAGTACGGGTGGCTTTTGCTTCCACCCATTTCGAAACATAATCAACCGCTAGTAAGATATAAGTGAAACCATAAGATGGAGGGAAATGACCCATGAAATCAATACCCCAAACATAAAAAATTTCAACAAAGGATAGGGGTTGCTACGGCATTTGATCCTTGGTACCTATATTTCCCGTTCTTTGGCACGGATCACACGTTAGACAATAAGTTCTAGCGTCTTTAAACAAAGTGGGCCAATAAAATCCACATTCAAGAACCTTTAATGCTGTTTTTTGAGTGCCAAAATGTCCACCACAAGCATAAGTATGACAAAATCTTATAATCGAAAGAAATTCAAAATCATGCACACATCTACGCAAAATCTGATCAGAGCAATACTTCCACAAATAGGGATCATCCCAAACATATAATCGTGCATCTTTTCGAAGTTTATCACATTGGTGCTTGGTGAGAGTGCTTGGGAGTTATTTGGACACTAAGTAATTCACTAGATCGGCATACCAAGGTTCACTTACCTCAATGGACATCAGCTGCTCATCGGGGAAAGTTTCACGGATAGGCACGACATTGTCTTGTCATTATGGACCATTCGGCTTAGGTGGTCAGCCACCACATTCTCGCTTCCTTTCTTGTCTCGGATTTCGATGTCAAATTCTTGAAGAAGAAGCATCTAACGAATGACCCTAGGTTTTGCTTCCTTCTTCGTTAGTAAGTACTTCAAAGCTGCATGATCAGTATAAACAATCACTTTAGTTCCAATTAAATAAGATCGAAACTTATCTAAAGCAAAGACAATAGCCAGAAGTTCTTTTTCCGTTGTGGAGTAGTTTAATTGGGCATCATTGAGGGTCCAAGAAGCATAGTATATAACATGCGGCTGCTTGTCTCTTCTTTGCCCTAAAACAGCTCCTAATGCATAGTCGAATGCATTGCACATAAGCTCGAAAGGAAAACTCCAATCGGGATGAGTAATGATAGGGGCCGAAGTGAGCTTCTCCTTGAGTTGGTTGAATGCCGATTCACACTCCTCATCAAACTTGAAGGGCATATCTTTTTGAAGCAATCGGCAAAGGGGGTTAGAAATTTTGGAAAAATCCTTGATGAAACGCCTATAGAACCCTTCATGGCCAAGAAACGAACGAACCTCTCTTACCGAAGTAGGAGAGGGTAAGTGACGTACAAGGTCTATTTTTGATTTATCTATTTCAATTCCTTTTTCTGAAACTATATGGCCTAAAACTATACCTTGTTTAACCATAAAATGACATTTTTCCCAATTCAACACAAGATTAGTTTCAACACATCGTTTCAAGATCAAGGTCAGATTATCTAAACAATTAGCGAAAGAATCCCCAAATACACTGAAATCATCCATAAATACCTCAATGATCTTCTCAACATAATCGGAGAATATACTTACCATACACCTTTGGAAAGTGGCAGGTGCGTTGCATAGGCCGAATGGCATGCGACGATAAGCAAACGTTCCTAAGGGACACGTGAATGTGGTCTTCTCTTGATCATCCGGGGCTATCACAATTTGGTTATATCAAGAATATCCATCAAGAAAGCAATAAAAAGCACGACCGGCTAACCTTTCAAGCATTTGGTCGATGAATGGCAAAGGAAAGTGATATTTCCTTGTTGTGGCGTTTAGCTTCCTATAGTCAATACAAACACGCCATCCAGTTTGAATTCGTGTAGGCACCAACTCGTTCTCTTCATTCTTGACAACAGTAACTCCAGACTTCTTGGGAACGACTTGAATTGGTGAAACCCAACGGCTATCGGAGATAGGATAGATCACGCCACAATCTAAGAGCTTGATTATTTCCTTCTTCATAACTTCCATCATTGGAGGGTTGAGACGGCGTTGAGCCTCTCGGGATGGTTTAGTCCCCTTCTCAAGAAGTATACGGTGCATGCAAGTGGTGGGGCTAATTCCCCTAATGTTGGCCAAAGTCCACCCTATGGCTGTTTTGTATTCTCGTAGCACCCTCACAAGCTTTTCTTCCTCATATGCTGTGAGACTTGAGGAAACAATTACGGGCAATGTTTCGTCATTTCCCAAAAACATATACTTCAAATGGTCCGGCAACGGCTTAAGTTCAAGAGTAGGTGCCTGAACAACAGAAGGTAACATCTTAGTAGAAATTGAACTTGAAATTGAGAGCGGAACCTTACCATATTTTCGTGGAAGTGACTCAAGGGCAACCACAACTTCCACAACTTCCTCATTAAAGGGCACGGCATTGGGGTCCTCAATCTGGCCGTAGGTTTGTATGGTTCCAATGTTTTTGTTTTTCAATTCTATGCCCTTCGTAATGGCTATTTCAAGGGCATCCTCATTCAATTCCTCAAGATATTCCTGCGCCAAAGAATCAATGATATCAATAGAAAAACATAAATGGTCATCAACGGGATATCTCATAGTTTCATAAATATTAAAATTGATAACTTCCCCATCGAATTCCATCGTCAAAATGCCCTTGAACACATCAATCTTTGTACAGGCTGTCTTCATGAATGGCCTACCAAGGAGAATCGGCAGAGAGGTGGAATGGGTTGAATCTTCCATGTCTAAAACGTAAAAATCAACCGGGAAGATCAAATGGTTCACCTGCATTAAAACATCCTCCAATACTCCATTTGGATAAGCGTTAGAACGATCAGCCAATTGTATGATCACACCATCCTTTTTCAATTCACCCAAATTCATAGATTCGTAAATAGAATAAGGCATGACATTTATGGATGCACCTAAGTCAAGCATTGCACGTTCAAACCGAGTAGTGCCAATTATACAAGGAATCGTAAAACTACCGAGATCTTTGCATTTAGTAGGTAGTTTACGTTGCAATACGGCTGAAACATTTTCACTTACCTTAACTACCTCTTTGTTCGACATTCTTCTCTTGTTTGTGCACAGCTCCTTGAGAAATTTGGCATATTTTGGGACTTGTTTAATTGCCTCAAGGAGTGGAATGTTTACTTGCACTTTCCGGAATGTTTCTAAAATGTCATTCTCATTCTCATCCTTCTTCGATTGCATGAACCTACGAGGAAAATGAACATTGGTCAGATTAGTATTAAGTGAATTTGAACTCAACTTACCTTGTTTGGTCGAATTAGGAAGGATAGGGGCTTGCGGCAAGGTTTGTTTCACCCTTGTCGTGGGTGTGCTAATGCTTCCCTCATTTTCTTGTAGCTTGTCATCCTCTTCTTAGGCAGATTTGGGAATGTCGGACTCACTTCCAACTTCTTTTCCACTACGCAACATGATGGCTTTGGCAGATTCGAATCCTCCATTCGGATTCATATTTGTTGAACTAGGTAACTTACCTTGTTCTCTACTAAACTGCCCCATGAATTCAGCCATTTGTCCCATTTGTTTCTTCAAATCTTCCACCTCATTGGCTTGATTTTGCATGCCCTGTGCCACATTGATTAGCAATTGAACAAGTTGATCATTATCCATAGGCGTACCTGTTCTAGATTGGGCCGGAAGTGGTTGATTTTGTTGATATGGCTGTGGGAACCCAGGGGGGTTTTGCCGAAATCCCCCTTGTTGCGCAGGTTGTTGGGGCTCTCTCCACTTCATGTTAGGGTGATCTCTCCATCCGGGGTTGTATGTGTTCGAGTATGGATCGTATTTGGTTTGATTTTGGCCTTGGAATCCAATAGCATTGGCAGATTCCCATCCACCATTCTCGATTAACTAAGGGCACTTCTCGGATGGATGCCCTTGAATGGAGCACACGGTGCAAACTTGATTTTCTTGTGGTTTTGACCCAATTACAATCTGAGACACAAGAGAGGTAAGATTAGCTAATTGTGATTGAATTTCAGAGATAGCACTTACCTCATTCACACTATGTTGCCGTGTGCTTTCTCTTTGTCCAACACCCTCATATTGTTGTGCATTGTGTGCTCGGTTTGCAATTAGAGTCTTTGCAGCCACCGGAGTCATGTCAACCAATGCACCACCCGCCGAGGTATCTAACATTTGACGTTCAATGGGGTGGAGTCCTTCGTAGAAGTATTGAATGAGCAGCTCCTCCTTCATTTGGTGTTGTGGACATGAAGCAACAAGAGTTTTAAAACATTCATAATAAGTGGGAAACGATTCATCTTGATTTTGTTGGATCCCGCTAATCCGTTTCCTCAAGAGAATGACTCTTGAAGTTGGGAAAAACTTCTCCTAGAACGCTCGTTTCATACTCTCCCAAGATGTAACCGTCTCGGGTGCTAGTTCGTACAACCAATCTTTAGCTTTGTCCATTAGAGAGAATGGAAAAGCCTTCATCTTCAAGATGCTGCCATCTACATTTACCGAGGTCATGCTCGAACAAACTACTTCAAACTCCTTCAAGTGCTTGTTCGGATCCTCCATGGACAGCCCATGGTACTTCGGAATGTGATGCAATAAGCTTGACTTTAATTCGAATTCTTCCGTCTTTCCTTGGGCTGCCGCGGGGTATTGGATGCATAGAGGTGCGGCATTGTCCACACCCGAGGCAGAAAGTTCTTTGATCGTTCGATTGTCCACTGCCATGTTTGGCTCTTCCTCCACAACCTATGCCGTGGGGGTTTCTTCCTCCTCTTCTACTCGTTCTTCAAACTCAGGGTCAAGGTTAGGTGGATTAGATGCTTGTTGATTCCTCTTCCTTCTCAAAGTTCTCTCAAA